CACCCTTTTTTTTTTGGGGGGGGGGGGGTTGTTTTTTGTTCATGATCTCAATTACCTAGGCATGGAGCAGAAGTTAGATGAACTTCCAATCTAAGTTACATGTGTGCTATACAGCCCTGAATTCAATGCTGTTTCATGTATATAAACCAGGGGTGGGCAAAATTCAGCCCATGGGCCAGATCCAGCCCATCAGCTGATTAGATCCGGCCCTCAGGGCACTCGCCGGTTCATTGGATTCAGCCCATGGATCTTCACATGGGGCTGAGCCCTGCCCAGGGCAGCCAGTGCTGTGCTCCTGCCTGCTCCCACTGACCCCAGTCCTAGCCAGCATGCACAGCTTCCAGCAGGGCTGCTCCCGATGCAGCTGCAGTCACCCAGCTCCCCTCACCTCCAGCAGCAGCTCCCCATCCTGCTTCTGCGCCTGCTGCGCCGTTCTGGGCAGGGAGGAAGCTTCAGCCAGGCAGCTCTTGCCCAAGTTCACAGGGCTCCAGGTCCCAGCTGCCTTCCACCCACTCCACCTGTCCAGTGCAATAATCAGTCACCTCCCGTCACAGAGGCACACAGGCAGTGGATCATGTCACAGAGGCAGTGCAGGCCCCGGCCCTATGCTGTCACCGCTCTTCGACGCTCCCGTTGCAATCCCCTGGCCTTACCCACCCATCCTGCTCCCAAACACCGCTCTGCACCTGCCCGCAGCCCCATCCCACATAGGGAGTTTTGGTGAGCTGTCGCATGGGGGGTGCTGACCCTATCTGTGACAACTCATCGAAACTTCCTGTGTGGCTTCCAAGCACAAATAATTGTCCACCCCTGATAACCAAGAGTATAACTTGGGGTGGGTGTGGATGAGCAGGACCTAATCCCCAGGCACCCATTCAGAGGCAGCTCCCAAGGGAGTCTGTGGTGGTGCAGCAGCAGCAGCCCCACTCTACAGCTATAGCAGCAACAACCAGATGCAGGCACCCCTCTTGTACTTCTTCCGTAACAGGCTTAGTCAGGGGCTCCACGTTCCCTGCCCTGGAAAAGGTTTTGTCTAGGGCACAGACCTTGCTAGTTATGAGTCTGAGTGTAACTATGAGCAAGATCAATTTGTTAGCAATACCATGAGAGAGCATCACTCCCCATATCTCCCACCCTTCCCCAACTGTTCCTGATTCTAGTTGCCTTTTCCCATTGCTTTCCGTTAACACAGTTCAGCCTTCACATCAGTAGGTATTGCATTTATACGGCACTGGCTTCCCATAGCCTATTTTAGACTTCTTTACTAATTTGCATTAATACTTGTTGTTGTAGCAGTAACTAAAAGTACCTGCACTTGCACTTGACAGAAAAGCCTCACCCATTAAACAGGGATCTGAGCCCCACAGTATATACTAGAAGAGTTTATAGCTTAACTGCTTGAAAAGCTTGTTTGATCATCTCTTAGGCTGGGTTTATGATGTTAGTAATACAAGGGGCTCTGTTGTGACTAGAGCGGGTCAATTTATTCATTGAAAATAAATTATTCAATGAATTCCCCATTTTTCTGTTCGTGAGTCATTTGTGAATCACTTTTGATTTCAAATAATGCATTTGCTGTTCATAAACATTTGCCTACATGGATTTGGCCTCAGGGATCCTTGCAAACTATTTGCTTTTACTATTAATTATCCATTGAGAGTGTGATGCAGCATTTATGTTTCCTATTTAGATGACTGGAACATTTCAAACATGTTGTATAGGGGGTTTTTTGGACAAATAATCATTCATGACATACTGGGGATTCAACAGTAATGTAACAAATAAACCAGAAGTCATCCAAGTAGTTGAGAAGAACTAATAACCTGACTCCATGAATAACAGCTGAGGGAACATAACACTTTTTTATTCATGAAATATCTGTGAATCTCTCTTTTTGTTTCTGGCTTTCCTATGAGCCCTTGGATTAACAAGAGATATCTTAATGGCAACAGAAATAATATAAATGGTTCTGTTTGTTTATCGACAGGTACCAGCAGTGCAGAAGTAAAAGAAAACCGAAATGTTAGCAACCTGGAGGATCATCCCATTGCCTCCAGTGAGAGATCAAGAGTGGGTGCATCAAGCAGTAAAAGGAAAAGGCCCTTGGAGGAAGGCAACAATGGCCATTTCTGCAAACTACAACTCATCTGGAAGAAAGTCTCATGGTCAGTGACACCAAAGAATGCCCTGGTCCAGCTACATGAACTTAAACCAGGGTTGCAATATAAAATGGTTTCCCAGACAGGCCCTGTGCATGCTCCAGTCTTTGCTGTTGCTGTAGAAGTAAATGGACTTACATTTGAAGGCACAGGACCCACAAAAAAGAAAGCCAAAATGCGGGCTGCAGAACTAGCTCTGAAGTCTTTCGTTCAGTTCCCAAATGCATGTCAAGCTCACTTTGCCATGGGGAACTGCATTAACCCATCCACAGACTTTACATCTGACCAGGCAGACTTTCCAGATACTCTGTTCAAGGAGTTTGAACCACCTACACACAGCGAGGACTTCTCGGTCTATAACCCCGTTAATAATGAATTGCTTTCCACTGCTTATCGACATGGGAGGTTACTCTGCCACACGTTGGACTTAATGGGCCACGCTAAGCAAAACAAGCGCAAGATGGCATCCAAAGCTGAGAGTGAAAAGAACCCAGTGGTGTTGCTAAATGAGCTGCGGTCGGGACTGAGGTACGTCTGCCTTTCGGAGACTGTGGAGAAGCAGCATATCAAGAGTTTTGTGATGGCAGTGAGAGTGGATGGGAGAACATTTGAAGGCTCAGGACGTAGCAAGAAGCTGGCAAAGGGCCAAGCAGCGCAGGCTGCACTCCAGGCCCTCTTTAACATTCGGCTGCCCAGTCACATTCCCAGCAGGAGTAAATGTAACCATTTGCCACAGGTGAGAGCTCTCAGGTAGCTGCCACTGAGATGAAGGAATTCTTAAGATTAATGTGATTGTTATTGTTCTAGCTGTAATTGGTGAATGATCAGGCCACTCTCCTCAAATTACAGTAAGTACAATATTTCAGCAAAGCCCTTTCTTCACAGAAAAAACCCTAGGCCCCTACAAAGGTCTTTGTGTGTACTTACCTTAAAATCATTAGAAGCAATTTGCAGGATTATCCGTAACAATTATGGATGAGTGTAAAGAAAATAGAAGGACTGTCAGCTTTTCAGTTGGCTAGAAATAATTATAACAATGACAGACGTAATGGAGGCAGGTGATTTGGGTAATGATGCAACTTTGTCACAAGAATGGAAACTATAAGGGGGTATCTTCTTGGTTCTTTTCCTATAAAGTTACATTTTGCCGAGGAGAGTACCATTCCACAGAGGTTTTTCCTTTTCTCAAAGCCTGATTTCCACACGATTCTATTGCTGATTTTTCCCTCCGGTATGTTTTACAAATGTCTAAGAGAGTGAGCAATGTAAAGGCTATGAACTGTTTTGGTGTGAGTGCATACACTCACTTACATATACACATAATATATATCAGAGGTGTATATCCTCTGGATCAGTGTCTTACAGCGTATCATATGCCACAGGCCAGCAAGGCGTTAACTTCTCAGACTTGTATGATTTTTCTGGATTCAAAGGAAACAATGATTTTTAAACACTGAGAAGCCCAACTGAGATTGAATTTGTGCCAATATGCTTGCTATAATCTAGAAGTACTACATTCTGTTACTTGCCTACACAAATACGCTATGATTAGGGTATGCAAGGAAGTCTTCAATGGAAGTACTATAGCCTAGAAGATATTATAGAAGACTGAGAGTCATTGAACCTGATGTTTTTTCCTCATTTGAAGGAATGAATTCTGGTTTGCAATGAAGTTCTGGTTTGCAGTGGAGTCCTGGGCAAGTGGTATAATTCCAGTTTCCCTGGCTAGGGACAGACATTACATATAAACTGATTTAAGTGACCAGAAACTGGTTTAAACATGTAACAGAACAGATGTGCAGTGCACATAAACCAGTTTGAAAATGGCTGAAACCAGTTTGAGATAAACCTGGTTGAAGAGATTATCAGATTTAACTAATTTGGGTCAAACCAGAATATAAAATGTCTGTCCTAGACCTCTTGCTGGCTAATGTAAACCAGACACCCCCAGCATCCCAACATGCTCTCTGGGATGAGCGGGGCTCTCTATTCCACAACGGGGCGAGCCTCTCCCCTCAACTCGCTGGCTGCAGCTCTGGCAGAGACCAAAGACATAGCAGGTTCTGCCTAGTTTCCCCCTGGCTTCCTCCCCCCCCCACTGCTCACTGCTTAAGCAGGAATCCCCTCCTTCCTTCCCTCCCTCCCATCGCCCACAGCACAGACCCCAGCCCCACGGACCTTAGGCATGTGGTATGTTAGCTAATGTCTGTGTGTGTTTCTCTCTCCAATTTCACTGGGACAGGCAGACAGAACAGTGACTGCTTAAGGCTATTTGGAGCTAATCAACAGGTGAGCCAGTAAGCTGTTTAAGAAGAGTTCGAACTAAATGGAGAGAGCATATTGTTTTGCTGATCAGGTCATAATCACTGTTATCAGCCCCCTGCTGGCCTGCTTGCCTGTCAGTTCACTGCAGGCAGTATGAAGAAGCAGGGAGATGGAGATCGAAAAACTCCGTATCATCAGCAGATGCATGCACTGCGCACACCTCCTCCCCTTGCCTCAGAGTGCTAGCCAGGGGCTGGGGTCTGGCAACATTCCCATCCCTTGAGCAGCCAGCAGGGAAAAGCCTGGGATGGTGCAGCAGACCTCCCTAATCAGAGGTCCTGTTGGGGCCTGGCCATGCCCCCCTCAGCTGAGCACTCTGCAAGGGAAGGGAGGGCTGCTTTAGCCCCCCCTGCCCCCCCCCCCCAGCTTCTACCCTGAGCCACTTGAGGCATGTGCTTGAATTTCCTCAGTCCAGAGAGAATGTCTGTCCAGTTACAAACCAGTTTAGCTTAGCCAGGTTACACTAACCTGCAAAGATTGAATCAGTTAAGGCTCAGGCTTTTTGAATGTCTGTCCCCAGCCCCTGTCTATAAAATAGGGAAATAGTTTTGTTGAGTATGTAATTTGTATGTATATACCACTTATTACTTTAAATAAATAATAGTAATTCTCATAAACATTTGTAAAGATTGACATTAGTAAGAGAGAATTTGGTCAGTTTATGAAGGAGATTACTGAATGTGATGGCTTGCAACAGGTAGAACAGTTTTGACTCAGAAGATCACTTTCAGTTTTATGCTTTTCTGATTCTCAAGGAGAAGGACATCCTATAATCCACATGCCAATATCTCCTTTTAATTTGCCAATATCTCCTCTTAATTTGTATCAGCACACTGCACTCTTTTTGAATGCGAGGAATTGTAACTTTATTTGAGCTTTAAAAATAATAATAATCTTGTTAATATTAATGGTTACACCTACCTGGTGCTTCAAATTCTTTCCAGAGCGTTCAGCAAATATCTTTTCTTTAATCCTCACTGAACTCCTGAAGTGTGCATGAATTATTAAGAAAAATATACAAACAATTGGAAGTATTAGTGTTGGAGCAAAGTTTCAGCTGTGGTAATCCAGGAACTATATGAGACAAGAATTTCTGCAGATGAAATCTTTTATAAAATCAGCTGTATAGATGGAAGGGATATAGACCAGCTTTTAGATACCAAGTACCCTTCCTCAAATCTGTAAATATTAAATAATTAGAAGTATTAAAGTATTAGAAAGGGACATCCACAATGTCTTTATGGCCACAGTGATCTCACCATTTAGGTTGTTGTGCAGGGACTCCATTTAGGTTGTTGTGCAGCGGTCTCACCGTTTAGGTTGTTGAGCAGATGTGTTGTTACAGGTATGATAAGTGTGATGACCTAACTATGTTCCTATTTTAAGTTACTGAAACTTTAGAATGTTTCATATGCAAAACAACTCTTCCATACAACTTCCTGAATTAATTACCTTTGATAAAATATATATTAATATTTACTTTTCTAAGACAGAAATCCAGGGTCTGCCCCATATTTATTCAATAATGTTACCTTTATGAAGTACATGCCAGGAAAGGATGAAGTATAATCCATGGAACATTTGTGCTAATCAGCATAAGCTACTTCAGTAGCCACAGTGAACTTAGCTAAACAGTCAATAGGTCTCTACCATGGCCTAACAGCCCTATGAATAGGAAGAATTTGATTTGTCTTATTCTACACTAGCCAGTATCATTTTCTGGGAAAGGAATTGCCAGGTACTATTCCTTGACCATTGGCACCATCATCATATCCCAGCAGGACTGCACATATTGCATGCCCATAAGCAACATACATATTCTTCAGTGTATATCACTCTCTGGTGGGCTTTTCATTTTTCAACAAACACCCTCCTCGCATGTCATATTGTTTCTGGCCTTCTGGAAGTTAAAATAACAAATGAAAGGTGTTGGTGACCTCTTTATGTCAGTCTTTTCTGTTGGGTGGTTATGGGTTGCCCAACCAAAAGTTTTTTATGACAGCACTCAGTACTTCCATTAAAACATTTCGTCTTGTTCCCACTAACCATTCCTACCAACAGATATAGCCATGAATGACTGGTGCCTCCCGACACTGGGGGGACACCATGGTGGCAAGTAGGGACTGCTCACAGCTGCCGGCATTGGTGTCAGCAGCAGTGAGTTGCAAGCAGGGATCGCCTGCAGCTGGTAGTGTGGGGGTGGGGCGGAGAAGAAAGTGGGGACCACCCGCAGCCACCACCAGCCATGTCAGCAGCAAGGAGGGGCGGGGCAGGCAGCAACTGCCCAGAGAAGCTGGCTGGCGGTGGCTTTAGCGGCGGCCAATCTCAGGGGGGGCACATGCTCCCCCTACGTGCTGCCTATGGATATAGCAGCAACACAAACCCAAGCACTGAAGGGCTGATGCGTATCCCACTGAATTCAACATGTGTCTTTACATTGACTTTATTTGGGCTTTGGATCAGGCTTTAAATCCACAGGTCCCTTCAACTGTCAAAAGGAATTATGAATTATTTCTTCAATTTACTTTCTTTGTTTCCTTCTCTTTTCTGCCCAGCTGGCTATTGTGTTAACTGAAGCGATGGCAACTGCATTGGCTGCTGGTAGTAAGAATGCCATTCACATTAGGCTGTATTCAGAAGCAGCTGTCTCATGAGCTTTTTAGATAAGTGCATTCTTTCTGCTTGCCTTGCCTGTTGCTCAACTCTGTCTTCAAGCATCTTGGGCTCATATCTTTTAATAAGATCAACTTGGTCCACCTCAAAGTTTGCTGCTGAGGAGCAAAAAGAGAGAACCCTGAAACCCCAATGCAGCCAAGAGCTTTTTTATGGCCTATTCATTTATTTATTTTTATAAGGATGTAAAATAACTGTCATTGGTACTAGGTATGGGCAAACCAGCCTAGATATAATAAGAGTTAATCCCAATAACCACCAGTATCTCATGCTTTTCTGAGACCTTCAAAAGTACATTCACCTCACAATATGAATACTTCAGTTTTGCCTGCCTTTGCAGTCCTATTCTCATCAAAGAAGGAAATAATTTGCAGGAAGTGCCAACAATCTCATGGGAATCTGCACTTTTAATGCTGCAGCCCTAAGGGGTTTGGAACATTCTGACAGTGGTTGAGGTTCTGACAATCTGAGCGGGTCAGAGCCCAGGAGAAATGAATCTGAGATACTTTTGAATGATCCCTTACAGTACAGTTCTCTAAGATGTCTTCTAATCTCTACTACACAAATGCCATCCTCACTTAGGCCTGATACAAAGAAGTACACATCAGACATAAGAGTTGTAGGGCATTGACGTCAAATCCTGATGTTCTTGATCAGCCCTTTTCAGCACATCAGATAAATGCAAACATAAAGAAATCAAGATAGATTAAATCCTCTGGAGTGGCCATGGTCTAACTG